AACTAGCTGCAATGCACAAACAGGCAATGTCCAATCATTAGTGAGAATTCTAAAATCACGTGTAAACTTATCTAGAGTTATTCCCAGTAGTCTGATCATTGATGGGGACATTCTTTATGATGACCCAAGCAAGATCTGTGAGCTGTTTAGTAAACATTATGCAAGCTGCTTCACGCACAAAGACAGTGTACTAAACATACAAGTGCCCATTCCACTGCACCACTCACTAAGTAATTTTTCCTTTACACAGAGAAAGATAGGTGATGCAGTTGCTTCACTAAAGAACTCATATTCTGCCGGACCCGATGGGATCCCGTCTGTTCTCCTTAGGAGGGTGGTGAGGACATACCACTGACCCTTACGAAGCTATTCTCAATATCCCTCACTGAGGCATGCTGCCCTGACCGCTGGAAGCCGTCATACATATCTCCCACGTATAAATCTGGGCCGACGTCGGAAACTCAAAATTACTGTCTCATAAATATTGCATCTGTAGTCTCGCGTATCATGGAGAAGGTGGTTGTGCAAGAAATCAATGACTACGTGGCTGCGCATTAGCTACTTTCCCCTACGCAGCATGGTTTCTTAAAAGGTCATTCATGTAGTGCTTGCTTGCTAGATTATTTTGAGGAGGTCATCTTCAGACGGCATGAAGGTCTTTCCGTAGCCGCTCTGTTTTTCGACTTCAAAAAAGCGTTTGATAAATTGCCTCATAATCGGTTAATTCTTAAGCTTCAATCATTTGGAATTAGTCACCCCCTATCATCGTTGATAAGCTCATTCCTTAGACAGCGTACTCAAATAGTAAAGTCCAGGCACACCCATCCCTTCCCAAGCCTATTTTAAGTGGCGTCATTCAAAGTAGTGTTGGGGCCCTTAATCTTCCTCCTTTACAAAGATGATATTTCTAACGTGATAAAATATGGTAAACCCTACCTGTTTGCTGATGACTTAAAAACCGTGTATAGCTTTCCCCACTCATCGCTAAGTGAGAATTTTAATAGAATCCAGGAAGACCTGACGAATTTGTTCGCTTGGAGTGAAACGTGGCAACTTCCACTTAACTCTAGTAAATGCGGAATTCTCTGTTTCAATAACTCTTATCCAAACATCAGCTTACACCTTGGCAATTCTGTGCCGCAATCTTATAACTCAGTATGTGATTTGGGTGTTAGGTATTCTCGGAACTTAACGTTTACGGAGTATGCCCAGTCCCTTGTCTCCAGGTGTCGGCGCTCAGTTGGCCTTTTGCTTAAACACGAGCATACCACTGAGGCCAGACTGCTTTTATTCAAGGTAATGACCGGCCCAGTACTTGAATATGGCACAATCATCTTCAGCACCATGCATGCTCCCGATAGGATACACTGAGAATATTCAGAGAAAGTTTACCCGCTACATACTGGGCCATCACGAAGAAACTGATTGTGAGGGAAGGTGTTAGGAGCTGGAAATTTACCCATTTTGGTTAAGACGCCTTAAGATCAACCTCAACGTATTTTTATGCCTTTTGTGTGGCATTACCCATACCTGTTACGCTTCCACTTTTAAGCCTATGTCCTCACATATTCTACGCAACCGTGAGTGTGCCGTATCTGTCGAAAAGCACCACCTTAAACTTAGGTCACGATCCTTCATGATACAGTACAGCAAATTACGGAATAAGCTTCCACATTTTATTCGCACTTGCATGTCTCCGTTTCAGTTTCAACGTCTACTCAACGAATTCCCTCTTTTCACGGATATCCATAAATTTACTGACATTTATGCGACATCCATAAATACGAAGCATAATGGAGCAATCGGCGCGTAACAATGGTCGAGCCATTGCCTCCACTGTGAACGTACTCAGACCTCTAAATGTATGAACCGGAGTTGTTAAAGTCCTCCAGTTCCTTTGATGCAGATGGCCTTACGATCGCATACAAGAGAGTGAGTACTGGCTGCTCTCCGTATAATGAACTTGATGAGTACTGTTTTACCCTCAAGGTCACTACGGTACACCCTCCCCCCCAAAAAAACTTAAGAACCTTATAATGGAAGGACTATGTGGTTGACTTCACACATATACATGAAAATGTACATGAAGTCCGAATAAATCAAAAAGGAATGGGGACTTCTCTCTTCTCCGAATTTGACAGCGTAGTAATCTCTCTTTCTATATCTGCTCGTGACTCTTCTTTCTTTCCCCGTTTGCAGGAACAGCTGCAAGTCGACATTTAATGTTCAAATTCAGTCTGAAGGTGATTACTTAATGAGAATAACACCTGCTCATTAACGCCAATAATTACTGGACTGCTCCCACTCGTTCGCAAGTTCTGGACCGTTTTCAAGATTAACCCACCTACTGGTCGTGATTTTTCTTGCAACGAACAGTATTAGTGGCAGAGACATTCTGAACAGATGATTAAACCAGAGACCAGTTAACGTATTGGCTCAGGACGTCACTTACCTGCAATGGCTCCACAGTACACATTTTCTAGTACTCTGTACTAAGATACCTTTTCATATGAAACTTGCTACGCATCAAATACACTTCTAGAATGGTGCCGCCTACGCTACTACAGAAGATACCCGCAGTCTATGTATAAACACTGCCACTTGGACTATTGACTGTTTCAACATCTATTTGCATCCAATACAACAAGTATTCCCGACAGAATTAATCCGTATTACCTGTAAACGTAAAATGGTGACCTGGAGATGCATTGATATAGACATACACCCTGGTTATATAACTGTGGATACTTTATTTATACTCCATATTGTATAAATGGGTCCTCTGTGGTTAGCAAAGCTAAAAACTGAAGATCATTCTGAGTAATAAACTGTTATATTACTAATCAGCAGACTATGCGAATGGACTAACAACGTCGGTTGGTTATGACGCAAACTTTGAACACTGCGCGCTTTTGATATTGATAGTGGGACCTGTCTGTGACTTGGGTGATGGAAATCCATATCCATCTCATAAATTTCAGTAAATTTTGACACGATTATGCACACCGACGACTTGATATATGAATTATTTAATACCAAATACCAGTTCGTAAACTTTCAAAAAGTATGAATTTGACGGTGCTTGTAAACTGGTATCCCCCACGTTAAACCCATTATATGAGGATTATATTTATTATAACCTAAAACCTCAACATTTCGTGCACGCTGTAAAGTAACACTTCCTTGTTCGTTTCATAACTATCAGGACCTTCGGCAGTTTTTAAGCGAGTTTAATGACGTCCTGTCCGTACCACTCAGGACCCGTAAATTCTTGTAGATATTTTGAGATGTATCAACGTGATGAGGCCTGTAAACTGGCTTCTCTCATGTTAAATTTTTTAATGTGAGAATAAAACATTTTGCTGTTTATTTATCAAGACTGTCCCCAGATTCGGGTAAGTTGGTTTCGCTTCGGGCATGACAACTGTTTGAGGGCTTCATCAGTCAACCTAGAGGATAGCACGCAACATCGACTATCCTCTTGTCTTGCCAACTACGGGAATGGTTAGAATATTGATGAACAGACACCATCAGTACCAATGACCAGGAACGTGGTGAATACTCCCTGATTCTACCCTCAACCTCATAGCGGTATTCATCTTGGCCCACCTATGACTGTCGACCTCGAATGCTCAAGGTGGTTTCGTGATACAGTTATGTGTCCTGTGACCAGACCCAACATCAGAACCATCAGCACCCCTCTACCATCACAGACATTCCTGGAAACTCCGAAGTCCCTACCTTTCGCGGGGGTCCCATCGCTAAAATCTATAAAATATATATAAATAAATAAATAATAATAAAATTTCATCCTCACATCAGTAACTTAACGTGAGAGAAGCCAGTTTGCAGGCATCACCACACTGATATATGTCGAAAAATCTACAGGGTTTTACGAATCCTGAATAGTACAGAATTTGAAGCATCGGATGCATCTAAAATAGGTGGTGCTTGACCATGGTGAGTGAGGTGCACCTTTGGTATGGATAGGCCCTTAATTTTATCGAATACCTGCTGGCAGTCTTTTGACGAATTCCATTTTGCTCTCTCATCTAATTGAAAATTCAAGAGGCTGAGAACACTGGTATCTAATCCGAAAGAGTGATGACTGCTCTCGAAATGTCTGTGATAGAATTCTGACTGTTTCATCAAATTAAAACTCTTCAGGCTTTTTCGGCAGCATGAAATTTACGTAACGATCGTGTTTTGCAGCGCCCAAGGTCAACGAGAAAATACCTTTATACGTTTTGAACCGTGATCCAAAAGTAACGCCTGCTAGGAAGTCAAAACAAAGCCTCATATTGAAGAAATGAGGGAATCTATGTGGGATAATTCTGGCTGCACGGGTCTCGATGCTGGTCTTATCCCATCCAGCTTCTCAGTAAGTGCCTCAAGGGTTTTTATAGTTGTCTGTTCAATCTTTGAATTATGCTGTCCCATCTAAGCTTTAATCGGAAACGCCAAATGAAGTCTCACCCGTTAAGAATAGAGCATGACAGAGAACGTACAAAGATCCGTGCTAACTCGTTTGCAAACTGTGGAATTCACTTCCTTCGGAAGTGGTCACAACCACATCCCTCAATACTTTCAGAAGGAGGTTAGACGCACATCTTTAGTCCTGAGGTACTGAAGGCTTGTACTTGAGAAGCTTTCCGTCATCTGCAGATCAGGAGAAGTAACACTAGCTTCAGACCAGATTAACTAATAGTCTATTACCGTTATCGTTTCAGGTTTTCCCGGAACCGGGAAGATAATAGTCACCATTCCAAACCTAGAACGTACTCCAATAAGACAGACGTGGAACCCAAGGGACCCTCATTCACTAATCCAACAACAAGAAGTTTGAATCAGTAACTGAATTTGGTCAAAATAAATGTTTGCCATATTCCCTGTCGCTAGTTGATATATCTTTGTGTTGCATGTATATATATTCAAATATACATATACATATAGCTATATACTGGTGGACTCTTGAACAACAACCTTAGCTTTGCTTCTTGATGATCTCTCGGTTCCTCGAAAACAGAAAAGAAGCGGCAAAGACGAAAAAGGTTTGTTGTGCAGTGGAATACATGCAGAAATTAATGGTTTATGTACATCCGGAAGGTTATACACTTTACTAGAGATCCCTCTAACCAATGGGTCTCACACATGTGATCACATGGCTTTTTATGAGACTTTCGACACGCTATGATTAGCTGTGAAGGTTTTTTCAGGGTTTCTACCCAGCCAGCATTTACTTTGGGCGCTGTTTGGAACTTCTGGGTATTCCCCCTAAATTTCACAAATATTTCACTTGGCCGCTAACATTTTATTGACTTCTATAACATAAACACATATAGCACATAAACGTCAAATATTCAGATAAAAATATTACGGGTTAGGCCTTCTCATCACTTGGGATATGGGTTATTACAAATCTTCGGGCGCACTACAGACACTGGGTACTTTGGTCGTATTGCAGAAACTTAGGGCGCACTTCGTGACTTTTGACACTTTCTGGGAAAAGGTTTGGAACATTCGGGGATATCGTGCCCTCTAAGTAGAATTTTCCGGTTTTAGCCCAAAGCTAATGCTGGCTTGGTAGGCTTCTTTTTAGGAATCTGAAGGATGTTGTCACATTCCATAACGCCAGTCCTTTCAATGTTTCTAGAGGTTTGTTTGAGAGTTTTACAGGAAATTAAAGGTGGACTTAAGGACTTATCAACTTTCCTGAACTATCTGTCAAAACTTATAAAGACACACTGGCACCTCTAATTTTTTTGGTGGATTTATTTTTCGAAGTGGCACTCAATTATACAAAATGTGGATAAAGATACGTGCAAAAATGAGGCGATAACTCTGTCAAAGGTCAACAAGCTTGTAGCGTCATACACTTCCCCAAAATCAATAGCCTAGGGTTTGACGACTTTCGACATCGATGCTGACCTTGATAGTTTAACTGGACTCGCTAAGCTGAAGGCACCCGGTCAAGCATCCTGGCCATTTGGCACGCTGTCGTGTTACGTTGCATTGCTCGTATTCGACTCTCTAGCCAGTTAGTTGGAACGCATCGGTATTTTGGCATAACCATCCAAATATACTATTCCATCCGACTACGCTATCGTGTTCTTCCTTGGTCTCGTATTCGTGGGTATATAACAAGTTCGAATAATTAGTGATTGGTCTTTGCGTCTGTCAAGTTCGCACCAGGACAAATCCTAAAAGCTTTATGGATGATTCATGAATGGCTTAAACAACTAGTATCCGTTACTGATGGACGTCAAAGGTGATTCAGTCCTGAATAAATTAAAATTAAACTGTACAGAAGGAAGGAATGGGTACGGTGTGCTTAAGAGTTGTTTCAATATGGATTCCAAAACTTTAGTGACAAAGGAGATATGCTGTTTGAACGGTGATAGCATCTCCACTTTGACTGATTCAAGATTAGCCAAACGACTGCGCATAAAAGCAGTTTCAAGTAGGCTACCCGTCAGTGCCATGAATTCAACCAAATCACATCAGTGTGGAAGGGTATTGTCTGAAATTGAGCCACTGGTTATTATAGAGCCAATGAAAATTTTGATAGCTTATGGTGTAACTTGACTTAATCTTGGGCCACGATCCTGTCTAGAAGTGAGTTGCTTGCAAACATACCCCGTCTCAGAGAAATAACTTTTCCAAGGTTGACGTATGAAGAAGTTAGAATACCCATTGGTTGTATCATCCCAGAAGCTTGCAGAGTGCTAAAAGAGAAATAGGCAAATGGAATGGACTTATGGGCGACAAGAGTCACTCTTAGACGGAAAATAAAAGAACCTACACCATAAAGATATTGCTTATCCCGCATAGTTCAAGTGTCTGGGACAGATCTAAGGTCCATAATAAAATACATAATTAACCATGGGTTTGAGGGCATCAGAGACGTAAACAGCCCGTTCATGAAAGGCCCCAAATGAGATCAAGATGGTGGAGAAACCATGCAAACAGGAAGACGGTCATTTTGTCACAAGTCTATCTACGATAACTAGAAGAGTCTAAATAACGAGCGACCGAGGGGTGGCTGCTAAACAACTAATAAATCTCAAGTCGACGTTTGTTTTGCATCTCGATCTTCGGTAAAAATCCAAAAAGGTTATCGTCGAATATACCACCAAACGTTATATCAGAAGACGGTTATGCAAAGCGGTGCTTACCATATCATCCAGTCCAAAGCAGCCCTTATAGTTACATACTGCTGTTCAAACTTAGTGACGCTTGAATGGCTGCAAAGATGTTTTTATGTTGCAGGAAGAGTTGGGATGTTGTGTTGGAAACGTTCAGTTACGGGCGAAGTCTACGAAAGTGGTATGCGATATATATTATGTGTCTTCGAGATCTGCCTACTTCGTAGCAAACAGAATGTCTTGAATTGACGAATCAATGGAGGTAAGTAACACTTATGTAGAACCCTGCTGATTTGTATCAGTGGGATCCGACGATATGGGTGTGCCCAAAGATAGACGATGAAAATGGTCGCAACCACTGAAATAATTGAACCATGACCTAACGAGGAGGATGGCCTGCCTGCATGTGAGAGCACCTTAGAGTTGGAAACAGTTGGCAAACTGTCACAAACGTTAAAGTACATCACATCTACAAACCATTTTCGAATATTATCCTTGCTGGTGCTACACCACATATCTGCACATGAAGCCTGAATGCACTAGGATGAAAGAAATAGAAAGGAAGAAGACAGCAAACAAAATTGATAGAAAGTCACTTTCTATTTTGATGCAAAGTACTAACGGATACCAGTTCTCCATAGATGCTGCTCTGGAATCAAGCATAGTGAAAATGATGCCCCACTATTACAAGAAAACCATATTAACAAGTAAAGATATTTCATTCCAGAGCATCATCGGGCTTATTATTTTCATCCAAGTCCGAAAATATGTGCTTAAAAAGTACTACCTAACATCATAATAGCATTTTTACCAGTGACTGCAGATTTAATGGGATTTCTATGACGTCAGACCAGCACTGTTATACTGTTAGTGATTTCTTTTCTTCAAAAAACACTCACAAGTTCTGCATTTCTTATGCTCCTACTTAGTCTTTGGTGTTTCTCGCGATCACTTTCTCCTCCATAATTCTAGTGGTGAAGTCCGTGTGCTAAACTTCCTAACGACCCTCCTCATTTTCCATACATATCTTTCTGTTTTCTCACAAGCATGGCTCAGTGAATTTCTACAAACTGCAAAATTTCATCGAATTGCAGCCAAGAAATGAATATTTTGTTGCTCTGGGCTGATAATTCTGTAATACGCAATTATCAGACATGAATTTTGGTGGTGATTTATTGTATTGACTGCGTATTTTCATCTCTTTCCGCATTAAAGGTCAATTATTTTCACTACTTTAATAAGTACTTGTCCTATATTTTTTTACCTAGGAGAATGCAAATGAAGTTCACCCTTGTGAAAAATTGACGTGTACAGAAGCCTCAGACATTCATTATCTTTACGTACTTTGTACCTGGATTCTGTTTATGCAAGTTAGTCAACTAGTGAACATTTAAGCCATATTGTAAAAATACTGGTTCGACCGAGAGTGGTGGGTTCAAAACTCGACCTCAAAAAGTGTTAATTTTTTCAAAAGGGAAGTACGTTCCTTAAAATATATTGTATCTGCTAGAGAGGCCCATTATCACCCAGAAAAGGTGCCTAATGTTCAAGAATGTCCAACTCCAATGTTGTCTACTGAATTGCATAGTCTCCTTGGATAAACTTCGTATAGTAGATGTTTTGTGCAAAGTTTCTCATCTTCCGCAACACCACTATTTAACACACCTTAGAAGAAAGAGTTCATATGGATGAATGGCACGGACGCCTCTTTCCGGAAACTAAAAGAATGTCTCTGTTCACCCCCCAATTCCGGTGTGTCTGGACATCTTTGTTTCAGATGGGGATTCTAGTAATAACACCATAGGGGCGGTTTTGCCATAAAAAGATAGGAATAGTGTTGAAAGGGTTGTAGTTTATGCCACCTGCGTCCCAAATAAGAGTGAAAAGAATTACTATACAACTAGGGAGATGTTGGCCCTTATAAACTTTATTGATTATTTTCGAACATAATTACTTGGTTGACAATTCCTGGCACGGACACGCACAAGTCCCTTAGCTAGCTACAAACTTTCGGAGATGCGGAAGGTCAGATCGCAAGATGGTAGGAATACTTACAGGAAGTCGGGTTTGAATATCAGCATAGACAGAGGAAATAACACGCCAATACCGATACGATCCCCCGTAAGCCAGTTAGGTACCCGGAGACTGTCTACCTTTAAGTAAAGTTTAAATCTCTCCTTCGGTAGGAAGCCCATAACACATATACTTGGCCTAAGCTGCAGGCATCTGACCCGGAACTTGCACTTTCGAACTAGTACGGACAGGAGGCGAACGACCTACTTCAGCAGAAGTCGTGAAATGCGGTCGGGAAACGGTGTTTATGGTCCCTGTTGGAGAGCCTGAAAGCCGTTGATAATTTCCACTACTATCACTATGGACCTACACATATCTACCGTATAGCAGTGCCTCATTCTACCGTCTTGTTGTCGTTGTATCAACAGCTGGGACATGCAAACGCGGACAAGATGATTGAGATGGCGCGCAGGCGTTATTGGTGGTCGCACTATAATATAGATGTAGTAAATGTCTGCGACACATGCCAAGCTACGAAACTGTCACACTGTGATGACCGGCCACCTCTTGAACCCATCATGACTGGATGTCCAGACGATGTGGTTGAAACAGATTTCACCTGACTACCCGTCGTTAGAACTCATGGTAACAACTATATATTGGTCATGGTGGACAATTTCACTAAGTAGTGCGAGGCGGTCGCCCTCCCTTATATAGACGCTGCAACTAATGGTAACTGGTAAACTATGCAGAGTGATGGGAATCGAAAAACCCGTGCGACAGCATATTACCCAAAAAGAGATGGGTTAGTTAAGCGGATTAGTTGGACTCTTAAAACACTCCTTTGAGCATTTGTAGGTCAACAAAACCCCCAGGAGTGGGATCGTGCCTTATCTCACTGCCTGATGCTGAGTCAAGTCAATCTTTACAAATCTACGCGACAATCTCCCTTCTTCGTGGTAAATTGACGAGGGCTTCGCCCGTCAACAAACCTCAGGGATAACACCTTAACAGACGGTCAGCTGTTGCTGTGCAAACACGTCATTTGACTACGAAGAAACTTAAACAAAGCCCATCAACAGATGAGAGATATACTGCGTACATAACAACGATACCAGAAGAATAACTATGACAAGAAAGCACTTGAGACCCCGGCGCAATCAGTGGATAAGTTCTTGCTATTGAAGGAAACACTACCACACGGACTAGCTCCTTAAGTTTCACAGAATGGGGACAGGACCGCTCATCGTACTGGAATTACTACATGCAGGATTCAGGACAGCTCACCCGACCAAAGTCTAGTCACGCACTATAATAACTAAAGCCCTATCGATATCCTGCGTCAAATAGACCCGGAGGTCCAAAGGCTGGAACTAGCACTGAGGATGGGGTGCATTGTAGGGTAGTGCAGCGGAAAACACAGCACTTATCTCAAAATTTGAAATAATTGCCTTCCTTCTTTCAGGTCAAAGTTGAGAGGTCTGCGAATTAGCTGTTAAGACAGTGGAGTCCGTCAACCAATCAGGAGCTGTTGTAACACCCTAATACGACTAGTTAAAAATAAAGAAATTCTTGCCTTTAGTGATGGTTCTTACTAGCACGAGCACTCGTGTGGTCGATTGCTAACATGCGCTTCTCTCTCTGTTTGAGACTGGCCACCCTGGCAGCCGCTGAAATAACCAATGAGGTTTCGGTATTCCGGCTAGATAGGAAGGCCTAATCGGTTATTTCAATAGTTGCTAGGGTGGCCTTTAAAGTGACCCGCAACTGCCAAGTGTATGTAAGCAGCATGCTTTTATGTAAACTTAGTGTGGCGCGGCTGATGATAGTGGTCAATATTTCGTTCAAATAGTCTGTGAGACAAGTATTTTTAGCTGTAATTTCATGTAATCTTTTCATTTACTGTGCTATGCAGCATGTCGAGTTGTCTGACTGCGTTACATTGGGCACATCATTGCTAACCTGCTATTTGTCAGCTGATTTGTAGTAGTTGTTTGCGGCCGCCTACCGTTTGTTAGTGGTCGTTTATTACTAAGTGCAAGTACATCTTATGTACTTGCTGAATCGTCGACTTACGTTTTTCTCTTCCTCTTTTCCCTTCCAGGTTCGCACCACTGAACTCATACCCCTCTGCTCTGCAACTACGTACCACCTATCTACAGGCTGCAGGGAATCGTATCAACAACTGATCGTCACATGAACTGGTCGTTTTTTCGAGGTAATAACAAAACAAAGGAAAGGTGTCAAATTAAAGGGCATGGACTTTTGAATGCACAAAAATACATATTCTTCGGATACCTATCTCCGATTGTACGTACTTCTACTGGCTGAATGAACCACCACCACTAAACAGCAAATGCTAATTCAGTGCGAACCGACTGCTTCACATTATTACGTTTGATGCTGTTGTTATGAACATCATTCAGATGTTATATTCCTTCTGTTTTGGGAGTAAATTGTTTTGTTTACTACATGTGTGATATGCACATACTATATCAAACGTATAGTTTAAAATAAGGCTATCACGGTTATTGTTATTATGTAGGTAAGTTAGCAAATCAGACATAGTGGCTTTTTTCAGTTGTGCAAGTAAGCTGGGACAAAAATAGGGTGGGAAAATTCAGTTCGACTTTGAAAAGTACATCTGCACTAGTCTTCGGACAAATCATACAATCCCTACAAATTTAATCAATACCCAACCGCATGTTGGGTATACTAGCGATGCAGCAGGCGAGGGAGTAGATATACTTCACGTGAGCCTACCAAAGACCTGGAACCGTTCCGCAAGACCTAAAAGCGAGCACGGAGAAATCAACCGGTTGATGTCAGCATGTAAGAAGATGTTGGATATCGAAATCACCTCTATCTACTTTTCAAATTGCCGAAGAAAATTCGAGGGCTAAACCTTCATTACTAAATTTGTGAATAGTCTCAGAGTGAATAAAGTGTTCACATTCTCTGTCTTAAAGTTTAACTAGCACTAAATGATTTTCTTGTAGTTGCTTCTAACTTACCATGTGACTGCAGTGTCATCTATGTATATTTTAATGTATTAGCTTTCGGTCCTAAATTACTTTAGGATTTCTGAAAGGCTCTGAATGGACTGTGCTCAACACATTTCCTTGTTCATATCCAATAGCAGTACATTAGGTTTCATGTGCGATGACATTCTTCGACTAAACGGGAAAACATGCTCTGCTCCTCAGAAAAGAAGCAGGTCTAATAACTGTTAGAAACCTAACACACTGTACTTTTTGGAAACATCATTACTGACACCTCTGAAATAATGGGTTTACGCTACTGCTGATTCTCTCACACATGTGATTTCTACCAAATACCTAGTAAGTATCTGCCTACCCTTTCTCAGTTTTCATCAATCATTAATTTCAGTGTTTCTCTTATAATTGAGATATTAAGTGCCTTAAGACTGATACATATTTCAGACGCCGATACAGTCCAGATTGACGACACTAGAACTAGTTTTTTAATTCTCTAAATGTCTACTTTATCCATCAGAAATATATACTATCCTAAAGCTTGAAAGGTTGCCTCCATGTTCTCTTATAAAATAAGTCGAATTCAAAATATGCTCAGGACTACGAAATCCATGCAACATGATGTAAGATAACCAAACCACAGAAGGCAAATTTTATAATCTGAACATTTATGTGTATTATATAAACAAAGAATTTGGACTGTGAAAAATTTACCAATGCACCCATCACGCATCAAACGTCAATCTAATGTTTATACTGTCAGGTGATCGCTTGTGTGTAGCTGTACTTTTATCGATAGCTTATGACGTAAACATGTGTGTATAGACGCATACGAATTTAATTTGACGAGGATGGAATTCTCCTGAATGCTTAAGTATATTCACTGACAAAAGTGAACAATATACATGACAACAATGAAAAGAATAGAAGTCAAACGACACTACTTAAAATATTGTAGTTAGTTATGTTAATCAGTATACCGTAAAAGTAAACAAAGTTGGTTTCTGTAAAAATCTGAAATATTTGCAGAGATCTTTAAGTAAGCTAATGGAGAGTAGACAATCAATTAAATCCCTGATTTAGTTGATTGTTGTCCTATTTCTGTTTTCCTACATTCACTAAATTTATTTATTTGTATCATAGAGCAATATAACAGAGTCAGGATTAACGAGTGTCATTAGCATTATCACAGATGACCTACGCCAATAATGTTCGTCTACTGCATGTGTTTTTCTATGGACTGTTATCATTCAGGTTCATAATGTTTACCACACGATTCCTCACTTGCAGGAGTATAATTCCAATTACTGATCGGTAATCATTTCTTCTCTAGCAGTAAGAAATTCATACTTTTAAAATGTCCCCCAACTATTCCAGATTTAGAAGCGTTGAAGGACGATTATGTGAGCGTACATGTTATGTGTTTCAAAAATACAGTAGGAGATGATAGATCCACGTCTTCAATTCTTCTAAGCTATCAGGATTCAATCTTCAGTGTTATTGTGAAATTTCCAGCCAAACCATTTTACTGAGGATGGTATAAAGATATGAATAAATAAGTGATCAGTACCCTTTAACTAATCAGCCACTAGCATACTAGTTATTACTTTGTGGCTGCAAAGCTGTCTTTTCTTGGTATTTAAACTGTTCATTAGCAATTACTTCATGTATTACTTGCAGCCATCTTGAGTGAGTGTCAAAAATAACAAAACATAGTATAAAGTTGAGCAAAGACCACAACAGTCCATGTAAACGAACTTCCAAGTTTCCTGGGATCCAGGTCTCAGGTTTTGTGATGACTTTTCTTACAATGTTTGAGACAAACGTTTAAAACACTTCTTTTATTTTGCACTAACATGATCATCATCTTCTAGCAGTAGATATGTTTAATATGTCTGTGATTTCAGTTTTTTCTGCAATTAGGTGTTCAAGATTAAGATCATCTAGTACAGCGGGCCTTAACGTTGGAGAAATTATAATCTTTTCATTCAGAAATGAAATCCTTCAGAATATCATGCTGTTTGCTGTGCTCGACTTTACTCAAAAATCTTAGCGAATATTTTACAAAACAATATTACACTTCTGTTAAAACCGATTGTTTATTTCTATTGGATACTGACTGATATAATCAAGAACAACTCAATCAATTTCATGCTGTTAATCTTCTGCTTTCCTTGTTGCTATATGTCATGTGATGTCCATGAATCAAGATAATTCAACAAAATAGTATATGCCATCCGGGTCAAGTTGAGATCCTATCCAACTATGTATTTACTACCAGTTTATAATTAATTAGGAGCATTAACAGTTTTGCCTAAAAGATTAAATGCGCTACTCTTCCAGTTTAGGGATTTTCGCCTGAAAATGAAGCGATCACGTAGTTAGCATGGAACTAGTCGTTGAAATCATATCCTGACTCCTGTGTCTGAAGCTGAAAAGTAGAATTATGGATTTCCAACCACAGATAGAGACAAACTTCTGATTTTGAGGTGTTGCATCACGTAGAAATAACCAGGAAGAAATCCTTCAAATTTATCATCTGAAAGAGAAAGTAGTTTCCCAAAAAAAGTAAACTTTATGCTTTATCTCCTGTACGAAATGAGGAGATATTTTGTCGTTCTTCATATTTTTCGATAGATACGATTACCATTCGACATAATCTTTAAGCTCCCACGTTGAGGTGGTGGAACGCAAAATTCTATGATTGCTTTAATCGTTTTACTTTGTCAAAATGCAATAATGAAGTGTATTGCGATTCAGGATCACGGCGTCAGAACAAGCTGAGCTTGACAGCCGAAATCATAAAATCCAGGGTTTTATGACCAGCCTAAGCCATCTCATTGAGTTATATTAATTATTCCCTAACTACTGGAGACTTTCCTTTTAATTTCAGTTTATCAGTCAACATCCGCAGCGTTTTATTGACTCTCAAGCAACAATTTTCTTTCTATTGAGTTTTTCAGTTAACTAATCTGGGATCATGAAGGTTGGTCAGCTGTGTTATTTCTGTACTTTGACATGAATAAATATATCTTATCAATCTTTAAATTGAAAGTAATGTTTCTTTATGTCATAATTCTGTTTTATACATTTTTCCTAAAATCTGATAACGCAGAGTTTATTTATCCCTACACCCAGTTTCCTACGAATACACTTTTGTAATTTATGTTGGTGATTTCGGAGAAATATATGAAACTTATCTCTTTCCGAGTGTGTGATCACTTTACTCAACGTGGGTTCTTTTCCAAATTCATCGTTGACATATCCCTCGACTCTTAAAATCCCGTTGCAGAGACCAAATTTATAGTAAACTGGATCCAGCACCATTGTTTTCAAGTGGTCCCGTTCTTGACTGTATTTAACGTTCGTTAACTTTCCTACTAAATTCCTATTTTTAAAGAATTTTTGTTGCTTTGAATTTTAAATTTGTGAGAACATGTATTAGCAACTTCATTTTTCATATTAATTGTTTTTGGGTCCACTATGCATCACAGAAGCTCTTGATACTTTTTAATCCCCTTTTGCTTATGACTTTTACACTGTTGATATCCATTACTACTTACTATGAAGGTCTCAATCTTTTCTTAGTAATTAATGTCATCACTCCAAGTTTCGTAACACTTCTTCCTCCCTCAGAAACACATACAGTGATGTCATTCATGGCGTTTAGTGATTTACTATCTGGTAATTAGTCTTTGAATGCAGAATATTAAGGTCGCTGCATGCTCCTAGGCCACCTGATACTATGGGATAGTCTTCAAATAAGTGGTGAATGCAATTCTCTTGAACCTCTACTTCTGTATCAACGTTAGGAAAGTTTTTAATAATATATCGTGTAAGATTCCAAACTCTACAGTATCGGTGGATCCGTTCTGTAGAGGTGTGACTGTTAAAGTCTGACCTTAGGTCTTGAATGGACTACAGTTAATAGAGGCTAACCTCATGAAATAGAATGGACGCGTTGTGCGAACGTTCATTCAGACAAATCCAGTCACTCTTACCATGGCTGAATCGCAGCTGCCAGAATTCGCCCCCGAACGTTTAAGAGAATCTTTTATCAGGGTATATATTGATCAAAATGCATTCTAGGCAGTTGTGAATTAGTTTCAGATTATCTGCTAATGAAAAAGACCTACCACTTAGGAAGCAAAAAAATGGGCTATTTATATAAGCCAGAGGTAGCAATGACCTAAGAACCATATCCTAATTATACACCATCGAACTAATGACTCTGAACGCGTAGATAAGTGAATCAGTGCAGTGGAGGGACTATTGGTGCTTCATCGTGTTCAGATATTCTTACGATGTGAATCCAGTTAGTACTAAAAAATACTGCTGTGCAAAACTGTCTTTAAACTTTGCCCGAACCTCACTCAAAGACATTCTTGGATCGTTTTGTAGCAAACCGACAATGAACTGACTGTCTCCACACTTTGAAAATGTCCCAACTTTATTGTGGTCTACTCCTGAAAGTAAGTAAGAAGACCCCTATCAAAAACTGTTCCAGTCAAGCCATTTAGTTCATATCATCATCAAGAAGTCTAGGCTTAAATAGGAGTTCATAGTTTACAGAGCGTTCAACACTGAAGTGTTCTTTATATTTATTCTAATGGATTGAATGTTGGTATGCCCACACATTATTTGAAGGAGCTGTTGTTGAGATGCATCTTGAACGTCCAGTTTTCCTTCACTAATGTTGTATACAGACACAAAGGTGGCATAGCTAAGGGTTCACCATTGGGCCCCTGCTTGCCGACTTCTTCAAGTCAAATCAAATGTCGAAAGTAGTGCGATTACATTGATATAATTATGAGCAATAATTTGTGTTCGAAACGTCACCAAGTAAATAATACTAGATCACTATGTGTTATAAATCAAACAAACAAATCTAATATGGAATTGAATTCTACCACAGTGCCCAAGTTTTACACCTATACTAGAGAATACACACCTAGGCAGGATGATCAACCTGTTCGAACTTCATAAGCGATACGCATACGATACTTTCTTCGTCTCCAATAGTACGAATAGTCTAGAACATATCCTATCTCACTTTAACAAGTGTCACCCTTCAATTAGATTCACATTAGAGAAGTAACTTAGTTCTAAGATATCCTTTGTAGATATGCAGCGAAAAAGACGGGACAACAGATCACTTGAAAAGTTAATCCACAGAAAACCTATATGGAACGGACAACTTACGAATTTTCATAATTGGGTGCCTCTATGCACCAAATGAAATCTAATTCATTCTACATGCCATAGGATCCACTCTATCTGCAATCCTGATACTTAGGAAGATGAACTAAGTTTTTTTCAAAAAATGTTTTGACTGAAAACCAGTATCCTGAGAGTTTCATTGCTAAGATTATAAAACCGAAAGCAAATAATTCCATTTCTACACCTCTTAAGAAGCCTCTTTTCAGTTGAACGGAGACACAGCAGATATATTGAGAAAGACTTTCAATGCTACCAAACTCATATCAACTTTCTTCATTCACCCGGTACTTCGATATTGCGTGAGGGATAAGCCAGATCTCTTGGTTACCTCACTGTGTATTCATCAATTCACCTGCTTCTGCGGAGTAAGATATATTGACCATACTCAACGTTCACTTTCCAAACACATTTGTGAACACATAACAGCCTGGTTCCTCAAACGAGAACAATGTGCAGCTCTGTTTTAGAACATTTGATCGATTATGACCACTAGGTAAATCCAGAAAACAACTTCACTTTCATCTGTAGATTTCGTGCAAGTCTCGTGAAAGGTATACGCTTAAGACGTCTTCAAAGTGCAGAAGCCATAGAAATTAATATTTTGAAGCCTGAACTCTGCATTGAAGAGAAATTTATCCAGTCACTTGAGTTGCATGGTTATGACTTATAAGGACATTCTTACCTTCGAAAATATTTTCATTCATATCTCATACATTACATTCATTCCTCCACTCCTACGATTCTTATTTCCCTTTACATTTACCAGTCCCTTTTGCTGTATCACATCGTTTAACTTAGTAACCAAATGTTACTTTGATCCTGATAAGTCTTCCTCTCGTTACTATTTCAAATATTACGCAATTCTTTTGCCAATTTCCTGATTTAGAATCAAATCTGAACTTTGTTCAAAATATTTCATGCAACATTCCTTTTCTGTTACTATGAAAATGGAACGTTTATAAGCTTGAGAATGATATCTCTGAAAAGAGTGACTCTTTGTTAAACATCTTTTTTCAGTGTCTATCTGGCATTACATGCGACTGTTGCAGAGTTCTGCTGCAAGTCTGATATACAGTTTCTATACGGAAATCATTTCTTCTGGTTGGAATTTTCTTAAACAAAGGCATTAAAATTATACAGTCTTCTCATCTTTATATATATATATATATATATATATATATATATATATATATATATATATATATATATATATATATATATAAGAATTATTACAACTGATATATATATTACTTCCAAATGAACTAACTGAACTTCCAACTCAGTGAAAGTGATTTTAAAGAAATACGCGACTCATGACTGTAAAGTAAATACGATTAGCTGATCCTAATATTACTGTCATATGAATGAATATTTGATTTAAACCAGATTCATCTGTCAGTGAAAAGTCTGCTTTCTGTTTAGCAGCTTTGAAATAACATATTAACTCCAAGTTTCGAAAAATTACTTCTTCAGCATCTATATGATAAAATAAACAAAACATGTTCACAATTTTTATCCCTAAAAACTAAGTCAGGGGTATTCATAGCCTTTACTTCTTGCTGTTAGAGATTTCCGTGCGGCATTCCAAGTGGAACCATTTTGTGACGTGAATACACTGCTTAGTGTCATTTTATGTACCCATTTATGGAATATGAAATTACTTTTTAACTATGTCAACCCAGTAGTTGGTAGACCACTTTTATGAAAGCATCTTTTTATTTTTACCTACCACTTTCTTTTTCTGATTTATCGATTCATAATGATGAGTTTTTCTATAACTTTTTGACCTTCACAAAAGCCTGTATTTCCTTCCAAGAGGTTGTATGTGAAAATTCAGAAGCTAATGAACGGCAAATATATAGTGGTTTTTCCTGCATCTACAAGTCATGAGTTACCGAAGAATGTTGCTACTGGAAAATGCTGCACCATGAGTGGCATTTGTTTGGTTAATACTTTTACTGAGAATAGCACGTTTTTATCGAATCATATGGGTTGTGTTGATACATATTGTCTTTTTGGTTATACTATTATTAAGTAATTAGTACTGCTATGCGAAAAGGTGTGTTTTACCCTAGACTTTAGTCAAAAAGTTTTTCAGTACTGATTTTATGCATTTAATAACATGTTATGAATTTAGCATCCTGGATATCTAACTTGATTAACTTGTTGCACATATGTAAGAAACTGCAATTCATCCTCAATTTCAAGCTGTTATTCATCGTAGACTGACATCAGTCGGAGGAACATAGGAGACCTGGGAGCACTGGACAGCTGTTTCGTCCTAGTGTGGGACTCCTCAGCGGTACGCACCCACGACCTCGTCAGGGACCGAACCCGCAGCCTTCAGGTTCCGTGGCCAGCACGTTACCACTGGGTCAGAATCAAATGGTCCATATTCCAAACTTCTGTTAGCTTACGATTAGAAGAAGACATACAAGCAAACAATATTGTTTTCAATTAGTCCTCACTAGGCTTTACGCTAATATACATAATTTTTCTTACATATAAAACATTAAACCAACCATGGTGGATTATTTAGTCTGTGGTAATTAGGAATATCCACCATGATTGGTGTAATGTTTTATGTATGAGAAGATTTATGTATATTAGCGTAAAGCTTGATGAGAGCTAATTGAAAACAATATTGTTTGCTTATATATCTTCTTCTAATTTTGATAGTGGGAATTTTAACATTATTGTTATTAATCCTAAATGAATTGACAATGTCCTTTTAATAGCTTTTTTCATCTATATATATAGAGTAAGTGTGACACTCAAATGGGATAGCTGCCGAAATAAATGATAAAGGCTTCATGTCCAAGGAAGTAAGTTTTTACTGACCTTGTTAAGGTGATGTGCCAATCTCTTCACCATAATACTGCGACACCTCTTTGGTTCACTGGTGTCATAATGTCACTGAAGACTGTTCGAAAGTGATGGATAAAACAGGATAATAACTGGCCAGAATGAAATATATGGGGAGTGTATGTTTAAAATTATTCTGAACACCTGCTAATAATCACTATTTTTTCTTGAAGATGCATTAAAGAACCTCTCGTTCGTTTTACCTGATATTCTGCAATGGATTTCAAAGAAATTCTGAACTGTTAGCTGAAATTATTGAAGTATCTAGAGAAATAAACACTTTATCAACCGATACTCAGAATAAGACATATCAATTAAAGTACTCCCAGAGGCTACTGGTTTGAATTCTGCTATTACCGTGTCTTAATTACCGCAAAATACCATCATGTTGCATTTCATGGCTTCCATTCTTAGCTGCATTCAAGCTATTTACAATAAACTATCAAAAAGTAATGTATTAACGTAGTCCAAAGTTAGAAACCCGATAACTCAGCAACAGGATAGTAGGGTAGGTGAAAACGGAAATTCGGTATAGTGAATTAATTTACTGATTTTGTGACATCCTAAACTAATAGGAAAGGAAAATAAAATAATTACATAACATGAAAAAAACCAGTCAGGAATAAGTTGAGAAGGATTGATTTGAGTCCAACTTAATTGACGGTGTAGTGTAAAACTAATTTACCTTACCAAGTAAATGTGACTTGGATCTACCTCTTCTATCTTCACTTACTGATACAGGTTTGATCCGTATTGTATACTGCAAAAACTGAGTCTGCGTCAGTTCTGGAGACACGTTTCCATCATGTAAAGGTAGAAATCGAGTGACACGACCTGTTGTATAATGTTGTTCAGTTTTACATAATCCAAATTTCGACACAACAATAAGAAGGCGTAAATTGTCTGAACCATGTAATGTATTTGTACAACACATTTCGATCTATCTGATCACACACGCACTTGTCATAGGTATTTATGTGAAAATTCTTGAAGATAAGGGGTGAGAAAATAGATCCATGCAAGTAAGGGCCTCGGAAATATATTCCAGAGTGGCTTCATAAGCAAATTAAATCACCTGAACCCACAAACTTTGGTAGCAGACGTCCAAGTTCTTTGATCGCCAAACATAACGTTGAAACAGATCACAGGACTGATGTGGCTACTTCCTTTACACCAATTTACAAAACGTGTTGAAGACGGATCCTTAAATTTATTGAGGCCTTAGCTGTTAGAAAGTTGAAACCACCTTTGTGTTCATAAGCAATTTGTTGTCACATTAAATCTTCTTAGATAAATTCAAATATTGAAAACCAAGTTCGATGTACTATTATTTTTGCTGTGTTGATTTTCATTGTTATTCGGCCTTTAAATTCAGACTTCCCATTTAACCTGTTTTTATTTTCTCACCCATTATCTTCATGAATTTTCACATAAATACCTATGACAAGTACATGTGTGGTCAGACAGTTTGAAATGTGTTGCGCAAATACATTACATGGTTCAGACAATTTACATCTTCTTATTGTTTTGTCAAAGTTTGAAAAGATAAGTGATTGTTTTAAATAATCTAAACTGAATAAATGATTTTTTGGTCTCACTCAATAGTCCTCATGAAACTCCTTTTACCTAAGATACGGATAACATCTTATGGTTATTTTAATTTGTGCATTTTTATCGAAAACTGATGAGTTTTATTTAGTAGAAGGTGTTTAGAACCTCAAGTAATCCATTAAATTAATTGATACTGAGCAGAATGACTACTTTGGAAACTACTCACAAAAATAAGGTCTGCATTGACGTTACTTAGTTTTTCCAACTGCTCAACAAAAAATATATTACTGCCAAGATATGGGTATTTAGAAACCATTCAAACTGATCTGTGGATTTAGCCAGCCAGATTAGAATAACTTAAACACCATGCTTAGATGACTCTCGTCTGACAAGACATCACAACAAGGAGGGGGGGGGGGGGGTGGTAACTCGAGAAAAAGAAATTTTCTCTTTCTTGTTCCAGCTCGTTCACCAGGATAAGTTTACAGCTATTAGGTAAAGTGTTCTGAATACTTCACACTTACGGTTGGTATGGTAAACTGATTTCACCTCACGATTTTTCACGTAGAACTATGTGAAATGTAATTTGCTACATGCAACAGGATAAAACATCCGTATTGTCTAGGTGTACACAATTTTATATACTAAAGAAGGGATCATACTAGAGCAAAACAATATATTTTATTTACCATTGAGTTAGATTATGGTCGTGTTATGTTATGAACTGATAGAATTTGAAATTGTGCACCCCTGGACACCAACTCAGTAGCCAAATGGTAGCATACTTGCTATGAATCTCCACAGTCATCAGTGCTCATTGATAATTCTTAATCTAGGACAATAGGATGCAATAGATCCAATTAAGAACAAGACGTGTATCAACCGGATAAATATTTATTTTCTTGTGTATATTGACTGGGTAACTTATTCGTGAAATTATCTGTCATTTTACCGATTATAAATACAACTGTACAGCTTGATAACGAAGTTGCTGAAAAGAAATATTTCTTCTCTGATACATGCCTTGCTGTTATTCATGAACAGATTCAATTAAGCAAAATAATCTAATCTACCAAATTTTATACAATGACTGTGAGGTCAAGTACATAGGTCGGATTAGCCGATAGGAATCAGTTAGATTATCAGAAAATAGGAATTTAGCTAAATACAGAAAGATATCTCAATAAGATCAATAATCTCGAAAAAGACTAGGCTACTGCTATGCATGCATTAACACATAACCATACAATAGGGTGAGAAAAAAACTACTGCACCTAAGTCCATTATAATTAGGTGGAGACAGATAGATTAATTACTGAATCTTTGTTCATCAAATCTATACCCAACACATGTAATAGAAATGATGCAACACCTACACCAGAGATATAGAAAATTTAACTACCAATTATAAACAGTGATAAGAGGTGACGGGACTATAAAAATTAGATGTCGATAGTAGCGTGATTACATTAATATGATTATGAGCAATAATTTATGCTCGAAACGTCAGCAAAGAAATAATACAACATCACTGTGTGCTGCTTATCAAATAAACAAATCTAACATGGAAACTACTCTGTACTCTCCAGTCTCCTGTAGTTTCTAAACCTTGTCAATTTTCAAGAAAAACGACTCTTCAATAACCTTAACTACGGTCATCTTGGAAACTGCATATTAATAAAAGTAATTGCGGTGCTACAATTCATAAACTGGATTTCGGAGATTTGTCACTTTGTGACGATGAAGTATCCATTTACAAAATGTCAGGTAAACAGTCAAAAAAACTCTACTTGCATTGAGTTATTGATTTACGTGTCATTTTCACTGTTGATACTAAACACAGTAATTCTTTTCAGTATTTATAAAATTGCTTTTGAAATCTACTGTAAGTAGTTTTAATCAGTCATTAGTTACTAAAAGAAAGGCATGTTCACATTTTGAATGATTTGATACTTGTTTATTCCAGATCACAAGCAATGAATGAACCCATTTATTCGATACAAACAGAGTTTCCCTCTACTTTCACAAAAAATTTTAACAGATGAGAGTTACTTTAAAGGCTATCCTAGTAAACGCTGAAACAATCAATTTAGTCTCTTTAATCCAGTTAGAAAAGTAATTTTTGCACTAAATGAAGAAATCTAATTGATTATTTCAATAGCTGCTAAAGCTACCTTCAGATTTTATACATTTATTTCTAGTCAAATCAATAAATTGTTGGTTTTATTTTACATGATAATATGAATGCATTCGATTCAAAGACTTTTGAATTCTGGCTAAGTTTAGCTTGTTTAAATCCTAATTGAAAAAAAAATTGATCAGCAGGGTTCATCTACGTTCCTAGGCATTAGTGAATCTTTTATGTACTTGCTGGGAAAACTGATTTTTCCCTTAGTTACCTAAGAAAAATTTAGGAAATTAAACACTTGAAAATAACTTACCAGTTGTAAGGTAAACTGTATATTAGCTGTCTGAAAGCTGTCGGCAGAAAGTTGTGGGCTCAGGCTTCCTTCCTGTTTGCACAAATAAGCTATACCTGAAACATTCAACAGACTAGTACTCTTTTGTACTTTCACACCTATCACTCGAATGTAAAGCCTTGGACTTATCTAGTAAGATAGGAGGTTCGTGACTGGAAACTGAGCAAAACTGGATTATTTAACCAATGAGTAACTGGAAGTTACTAATGCTGTCTAATCCTATGTGGTGTTAGAGACTTGTATATCAAGTGTGCATTTTCACCACTTAATTTATGATAATCAATCAAATTTGGTTTTATTCGAAGATAGTATGCAATGACGAAAATAAACACTAGCTGCATCGTAAGATGGTTCAAAAAATGATGTGTATTGTTTTGTCACAGAACCAACGGTTATAGGCTCCAAGGAGTATCTTTATACCTTCACAGCTATTTTCCATAGCAAAGAAGATGCTAAAGTAACCGACTATTGAGAAATTATGTAGCCGTAGTCAGACAAATACGCATCAAATAACCGACGGTCAACTTGTAAATCCTAGATTCATGATGGGATATTTACAATAACTTGATGAAGCACCAAAAATGTTTCTTATGGACTATTTTTCCCTACTGTTGACACCTTTCAAGGTTGTGACAGTTAAAATTACTAAATAATTCAAAATCTATCCAGTCATATCAGGATTTCTTTTATAGATCGAGTTTATAAATAATATGGTTATTTAAATTAGGTGCGTTCAAATTAGAATGTGTTAAAGGGTTAAATTCAAACAAGGTACATCTTGCTAAGTCTACTACATCAATATAACTGTGTTGTCATCAAAAAGTAACCAGTTATGATAATAGTCTACGAAATAATTTGATTAACAGGCATCTATTTGGTGTATCTTAAAGTGTAAAAAATATTTCTAATCATTTTCACTGTTTCATTATACTGTATTAGAAAATCTGTCTTTTACAAAATTTATCTAACCTGTGAGTCGTAAAAAAGGCAAAAGTGATAACATTTAGGTGTATATTACTAAACAGTAGGGCAGAAATATATCAACTTATCTGATAAATTTGGTAAAAGTATTGATTATTAAATCATTAAATTAAATCAATGAGAACTAAACTCAGTAGTTAGCAGTATATTTCAATGGCACATATATATAATACTCGTAAATATCATGTAAATTTAAGGCTAAAAATGAAGTAACTTGTTCATTCATCAGACAAAAAGACTTATACCAATTCACACATGCTTGAAACTAAAATATCGTATTTAAAACATGTTAGCAATTGATTTATTTCGTAATCAAGTGTCTGCATATGACAGACATATAAGTAGACAAACAAACACGTCTGTCTGCTATAGCTTCCACTAAAACCGTTCTAACACAGGCTAGGGATAATTGTTTTTAAAGTAAGGAGTGACTTTGAAGGCCACCCTAGCAACTTGCGAGATAGCCAATTACTTTCCGGTATTTATAAAACTCTGCCTTCCAGCCGAAATTCTGAAACCTGATTGGTTATTTCAGTAGTTGCAGCGTACCTTTACGTCACTAAAAATAAATCATTTATTGAATATTAAATGACAAACAGGCGATTATGCAATGTTTTCCTACTCCGCTTTTGAGTGGAATCAATGGCAGAATACGTTCCCAAGCAAATTCATATATTACCTGTGAATCGATTACGATGCCTAAGTACTATTATTTGTTTGAGGCATGAGTTGAGGAGACAAAATCCCATCTCTCTTCTCTTGTCTTTCTCTCTACATAGTGGTTGGCTGTCTTACTGTACAGCTATGGAACAGATCCGTTGAAAGTGGAAGGCATACGACGATTACACTCTAGTATAACAAACGATATGTATCTCATGATGATGGAGATTATTTTCTGTTTTTAGAGCTTTTTATTTGATCCTGAGCGTTTTACTAATTCTCATTTCATTAATTCTTATCAGGACTCACTCTCCAGGATCGTAATAAACTCTCTAGCCTGATATTATTACTTCCGAAGAGTGAAGACCGAAATGGCTTTAGAAAGTACAGTGGGATTTCAGTCAGCGAAACATCTGACCCTTAGACATTTGAATGCACATTTTTATTTTACTGCACAATATATATAGATATATCTCGACTGTGACTAGTTGTTGATAAATCAAAGTAAATAGTGACCTTGTGTCTGACTCACTTTCTATCTTGTTTTGATTATGAGTTGCAACAAATCGGTTAATATATATTAAGGGACTTGAAAAACTACGTAATGCTTTAGGTTTCAGCAATTCATATAAACAAATGAAGATACAATACAGCAAGATCACAGAGAGCAAAAAAAGAAGGAACACTAGGCTGATGGTGATTATTGACAGCAACCATAAAACCAAAGTCCAGGGCTTTCCATCTAGTAATTTTCACCATCTAGCCAAAAAATTGTAGTCAACGTCGTATAAAATCATAGGGTGATCAGAAAAGGAGGTAAGAAAAATGACGAAATACAGTGTAACGATTAGGATGAAGATACGATGTGGATACATCTGCTCCACTCAGAAAGTTTCAAAGCTACATCACCTAGACCCTCCAGTCATCTGTTTGATTGCCATGTGAAACCTAACAATGAAGGCTTTATTTCCCTACATGAGTCATATCAACAAGCAGAAGGTTCATTTACTGAAGTGATGTTTTAGTTTGGTCGTTTATGATCATTCCCCAACCTTAATGAACTTCAGCTAACGTTGTACGCCTGGGTAGACGGCAAAGAGGCATACTTAACACATATCTCAAACACTTGAGTGGATAAAAGTCTACATCATCATCATTCGACTTGTCCTTCATGCCTAGAACTCTACACCTGATTTCTATATGTAACAAATGAATCTATTCCTTTGAAATAAGTGTAAAAAAGACTTTGTCTAGTCACCAACAAGCGCCAGAACACTGGTTCCAATGGATAACCTCCACACACCGCAGATGAGTCAAGAGATAGTTGGAATATATATATATGGCCAAAACCTGTGCCAACGCCAGTTTTATCAAAAGGCCCAATTCCAAAGTGCCGCCTATGTAAACAGTCAAGTTACTGTATTGGTCACAGCTTATGACACATCAAATGTATGACAATAGAACAAAATCGGATTATTCTAGAGAAACTTAATTATTGTTATGGAATTATAAATAGGCGAATGGTACTGAAATTCGAGAGAGAATATGTGTAAAAGAGAAAGTGATGTCATTTCCTGCGAGGTTATTTTTTGAGAGGCTAAAAGTTTAATCTTAATAGTGAATTCTGAAATTAATATTTACTGTCTAACTGCGTTATTGTTTAAAATAGTGAACTATGGGATTACGTATTTATGGAAATAAACAATGCTAAAGTTATGTGCTAGGTAAAGCGTTTGTGTTGGACTATAAAGTAAGTTAGGGAAACTGAACTCTTGATTTAAGACTATTCCATTGTTCTCAGTAGTGCAATAATTACATCTACTTGCGAAGTGCAGTGTTTTCATCTGCATATAACTTAACTATTGCGCTAACTGCACCTGGACTGCTTCACCAGTTATAGTAGGTCATAACACAGAAAACAAACTAAAGAGGCGCAGTCATTTGTTAACTCATCTGAATATTAAACGCTGGAAATCTGCCATAAATAAGTTAGATTTATCATGGTTCGCCCTGAAGCATACTTTAACCAAAAAAACTCCAACTAGATCCACATGAATTAATACTTTTACTGCAAACCTGAATTTCTTGAGATATTAGCTATTCGTGCTATTTTACCTCAGTTATCTCATTTCAAATCCCATATAAAGTATCATTCTCAGTAATGAGCCCTATCTCTGTGAAACACCAACATTTTAGCCGATACGCAATAAAAGGTACACCCACAGAAATTACTTATTCAGTGAGTAATAAACAATTCAGTCATTGTGATATACTACACCTGAGGAACAAGTGGTTATCTGATGTCAGACATAAGCCCTGTGAAGTCATTGCTTACATTACACTACGTTGTGAAATTGCTTATAAGATATTTCAGATAGTTAAGTATGTCTTTTTATAAAGAATGGTAACTAATGGGCATAATTTAAGCGGACGTAATCTAGTCTGTTTCATTGTTGGTTTTGTATTGAGTACTGTAAACAGGACTTCAGTCAGACAACAAATGTATCAAACTTTTAAAAAGCGTTGTTAGTGGATTACGGTAAAATGCAAATTATATTTTTTAATGAAATACACAACAGACATCCATAACTAACCTTTGTGTTCATAAAATGGAACTATATATCTAGAGTATTGGAGCAAAGAACAATACTAGGTTTTTGTGTTATTTTTTACAAGGATTTTCATAGTTTTCCTCATCTTCATACGGGAATTCTAGAACTCCATCGTGATGCATTCGGACAGGAGGAACAATATGCATGCGGTTCGACTTCACTGCTGCAAAATAATGTTTATTGAAATAAAAATCATCCCGTGGAACTTTATCATAAATAGGAACGTAAAGATCAGGATTCTGTAACACACAACAAATCGTAAAAATTGATATGGATGAAATCCCTATCGCAATCAAAAATCCAAGATAAGAAACTGGATAGTTTGTACATAGCCATTTGACTATACCTCCATTCTTAGATGAAGATTTCACTGTGGCTTGAGAAGCCAGAAGCCGATATCTAGGAAAGCCTAGTGAAGTTAATCTGGAGAAAATCATGGATGCGAAACCTAGTGAAACGATCGGAAATGTAATTTAGTTTCCACACAATAATTCTGCACCAATTAGAAGCAGCATTCATTACTACCAATAGGAAACAAGTCATAAATTTAGTCTGTATGTGTTTGTGTGGGTGGGTGAATGGGTGGGGGTGGAGGGGTGAATTAAGTGTTTGATGTAACGAGTATCTTAAGAAAAGTGAAACTAGGTTTCTTTGGTTGCATTGTTGCGTAAGTCAGATTCTTAATTATAAATACTGAGGTTTTATTCATTGTTTTGATTCGCTAGACATGCTGTGATGATATTTGAAAATTCTTATGATGATTGAAATAAGCACTCAAATTTATTCGTACCATATTGTCTTAAATCCACATATTTTCATCCTTTACGTTGAGTTATCTGTTGAAATTATCTCTCTTAGATTTTGGTCTTCGCTGAAGAAATTGTCACATTTTCCCTGAAAGCCTTACAGTAATTCATGTTTAGGCTTTAAAAAAACCTAGTAACCACTTAAAGTCGAGTTTAATATGCTTAAGTCTATGGAGCACATATCAGAAGTGCATATCTATTGTTATCTTTAAGTATCCTTCAGAATCCCAAACACTGGAAGGGCTGGCAAATACCAGTAGTTTCTTTTGGCAGATATAATGATCATAATAAAAACAACAGTAGTAATTATATCTTTGCTTTATTCCTAAACATAAGTTCATTTACAGCACATAATTCTCAGCATGTTATATTGGACTAGTTTCGCCGTTGTACAACATTTTCTAAATATATATACGTTAACAATGGTACGGGTTAACAATATGTTATAAGGAATACCAGGACTACTGATGGATAGTGGCTAGTAGTGGAGTCCAGGACGCGTGTCTCGTCCTATTTGGGACTCGTCAGCTGGGTGTACCTGTCTCCCAGTGAGTAATGTCCTCACCAGGACTCGAGCTCTGGACCGTCCACTTCAAACATCAGAGCGTTATCCACTAGACCACCTAGCCACGATAACCGCATCTTGTGCGAAGGTTATAGTTTTAATGTTGTTGCTTGTATTATCCTGTCGATGACTGGACCGAATCAGGTGGTCTGTATTGGCATGTAAGGATACAAGCAACAACACTAGAAATGTACCTGTCGCACAAGATGTGGTTATCGTGGCTCGGTGGTCTAATGGATAACGCTCTGGTGTTTGAAGGGATCGCTCCCGATTTCGAATCCCGGTGGGGACAACATCACTCACTGGGAGACAGGTACATCCAGCTGACGAGTCCCAAATAGGACGAGATACGATTCCTGGATTCCACTTCTAGCCACTATCCATCATTAATATATAAATAAAACAGACAATATCGAGGCAGCCAAGCAGAAGCCCATATGCCAATAGAGACCGATCAATTCGGTCCAATCAGCGATGAGATAAAACAAGCAACAACACTAATACCAGGATTGTTGGAATGCCGAATGACTAAAGTGATGATAACTGTTCGCTATTACAAAGTTTATATGTAAGATTGTTTCTTATACGCTTCTCTTCATACAACAGACTAGCTAAATAAGGAATGGTGAATTTTTGTGTGTGGATAAAGTCTAATGTATTTGCTCCTTGTTTTCCAAGTTCAGATACCTATCCATGACCGCGTTTATCGGTACGGTCAATGGTGCATGTTCTGCTAACAGCTTTCAAAATCCTAGGCATTACAGCATATCACACAGTGAAACAGTATTATCTTCTAGATGATATTTCGGATAAAATCAATTTTGCATAGTCTTATCGAGACAACTCCATTACTTTTAGACCTGGTCTTAGCAGATGTATTTCTAGTCACCCAGTTGGTATAAACGTGGGACCTTGCACTCCGCTTATGAGTTTGTTAATAATTGTATACAGTTGAAGAAATCAGCTAAAAAACGTCGTGTGAGAACGTTTATGATAGAATCAATAATCACTGGCATCCACTTGAAAATAAGTGATTGTGAAAATGATTACATGGCTTATTTAATACTATAAAGTGGTAGTTTAATAAAATGATATGTAGGTGTCTATGACAAGTAGATGAAATGAACTAAGAAAGACAAAATAGGTTAAGTGACTTTTCAAATTTTTTTCAGAAGAGGGGGTATCTACAGTATGAAAGTAGATTATCTGGGGCAGGACACTAACGAATCTCAGCATCCCGAATCTGGCCACGGTAGTTGTAGCGTCAACACTGGATTTCTTTGAACATACGACCCAAGTTGTTTTATCCTGGTTGTTATTGTTTCTTCAGTTTGTAAGATCCTGAGCCTGGTACCTTTTGGCGAGTTGGTGGGAACGAAGTACAGAATGGAGAACAAATCATTCATTTCCACTATACGGTTCCTTCGATCAAGTGTTCTAATTTGGAATTGGTAACGGTCTTCACTACAACTTTACTTAACCATGCTAGAAGGTGTTTGCGAACACGAAAAATTAAATTCCTAGATCAACGGCTGACGTACCTGGTTCCACAGGAGCAGTCCAACTGATAAACACAATATGAAGTGACCAGTCTATGCAATTCATCTTTCAGTTTCGATATTATTGAAAAAAATATCTTTTGTTCACTCAAACGGCTTTCGAATTGTAACGGGGATTTTAATTGATTCGAAAAAATCACATACGTTAATCGGGATAAATGTTAATTCATGTATCACTAGATCCATAACATTAGACTTTTCAAAATGACGCCAGATGAACAAGCCATCAAGGGAAGAGAGTTGTTAAACAACTGAGGAAATGTGTAAGCCAACGAATAGTCAGAAAACATCAAGATAAATTCGAGGGGAAATTGACTAGATAGAAAGGAAGTCTTAATGTAACCGAAATAACCAACGTGAAGAAAGACTAATCATAGTCTCTTTTGTAACCAAAGGTCAGGCTTAAAACGTTTGTACTGGGTAATGATTGAAGGTGAGAGGAAAAGCTGGACAGCAGCCGGATTCAAACCAGCGACCGCCAGGTTACCGGTCTGATGCTCTACCAACTGAGCTAAGAGGTCCAACTGCTGACCAGATTTTTATTTCGCTTCAGTCACTAAGGGTTTTGCATGAGTACCATGTGAATTCGTGATGCATAACCGCTGCTTGATCGTATTCACACTGGCTGCCTAGTCAGGATTTCTCATACAAATCCAAATCTAACTGAATCAGAGAGGAGAAGCATCATATTGATTATCATTTGACTATCTGAGATAGCCGTAGTTCGCTGGTTTGAATCCGAGTGCGGTCCAGATTTTCATCTTACCTTCAATCATCACCTAGTATAAATACTAGTCTACCAAACTACCGCTATCTCAGATGGTCAAATGATAATTAAAACGTTTGGTTGTGGCGTCACGAAAAGCACTTCCAACAAACTACAGACATTCATCAACAGCTGCCGCTTACGCTCACTAGATACTGAAGATCAGATGGCCAGAAAGAATAAGCAAAAAACAACTCTGAGAACAAACCAACCAAGGACCTACTACTCAACAAATATGCAGAAGAAAGTGGAGATGGATTGGATGCGGTACACACTGAGAAGGCCGATTGGGGACATCAAGCGCCAGGCCAGTTTTTCGAGTGGAGTCCAAAGGGGAAACGATGAGTTGGGCGTCCCAGCTGAGGGTGTGGCGACATGAAGGAGATCATGTGAGGAAGAAATGAAGGTTTGTGGGGAGTCGTGCCTCCAGGTTCAAAAGACTGTGTCCACTGTACTGTCAAACTCCATCTCCAGTCGTTCAATCATTCGCTGCCAAGTCTCCTTCCCATCCCAACGTTCCATGCAGTCATATGCCGCTTTCACTCTACCCCTCAGCAACGTACCAAACACCACATTCTTCGCTCCTGGTTCCTGGACACCCACCAGCTCCGCGACTGACTGAGGAAGACCTTGATATCATATTTTTTGTTACTCACTTTGAACTCATAAGACAGGATATAGAGAAAATGCGAGGATATTAAGGAAGCATTTCTCAATTTTTAAATGCACACTGTAGTTTCATAGCTAGTGCACACTGACACCTCACTTGGTAATTGGAAGTGAAGTGGTTCAACGCATTGGTCAGTTGACTCTATTAGGGATTTACATCAGCCCAGATGGACTGATAACTAATAAGTTTTCAGTGTAAAGATAGAATGCTTAACTTTGATTAACCTACACCATTCGACTGTCTAATAAGAACCAAAGTGGACTACGCAGCAAGATATTTTTATCCTACTTTATGAACTCAAGGTCATTAAAATAAAAAGATTCGCAAAATTTTTTAGTTTTCAGTCACTATAACGTTGGTGTGTTGCCAAATCACAAAAAAAAGATATCAGTCAAATACTCAACAAGAAGTTGTGGATTTTGATGACATGAAGATAAAACCCATAACAAAATCGAGTAATACTAAAACCCCATATTAATTACCGTAATAGATTTTTTTTCCCTTGGGTTCCTTGTGGAACATAGGGCTTCAGTAGCGCGCCTCCACTGAACTCTGTTCTCTGCAGTCTTTTGAACATGGAGGCACGACTCCCCACAAACCTTCATTTCTTCCTCACATGATCTCCTTCATGTCGCCACACCCTCAGCTGGGACGCCCAACTCATCGTTTCCCCTTTGGACTCCACTCGAAAAACTGGCCTGGCGCTTGATGTCCCCAATCGGCCTTCTCAGTGTATACCGCATCCAATCCATCTCCACTTTCTTCTGCATATTTGTTGAGTAGTAGGTCCTTGGTTGGTTTGTTCCCAGAGTTGTTTTTTGCTTATTCTTTCTGGCCATCTGATCTTCAGTATCTAGTGAGCGTAAGCGGCAGCTGTTGATGAATGTCTGTAGTTTGTTGGAAGTGCTTTTCGTGACGCCACAAGTTTCTGAATCATATAGCAGCACCTTGATAGATAATGAGTGTATATTGAAACTTTATTTTAATGCCTAAGTCACTTAGATGGAAACGTCAGTTATGACGTCCTACATTGATAAAATTTTTGTTGCAAAACTTATTGGTCACCAAAGC